TTATGCAAATCTTCCCACATCGTGACGTAGACATGTGGGGGCGTGTTAGAACGAGCCGTTTTAGGTAGGATTGGTTGACTCTTAACTTTTATAAAGAATATCTCTTTGGATTTGAGACTTTAGTCTTTGCAACTTTACAGATCTTCTTTATGCACCAAGAGCTTGTAACACTCCAAAGAGAAAGGAAACATTTAAATCGCATCATATGACCCCTTTTTAGGCATTAAAGCATTAAACTGTACATTTTAACTGTAAAATAAATTAGGTGAATGGATACACATACGCACACACATACACACACACACACACACATATATATATATATATATATATATATATATATACACACACTGTTTGTAGTGATCAAAAGATTTAGTTGATCAAAAGTGACTACTTATAAAAAATACTTTTTATATTGTTGCAAAAATGTGATTGGAATAAATTCTGTTTTTCTGAACTTTATTCATCAAAGAACTATTTAAAATATTATCATGGTTTCCATGAAATTATTAAATGTTAAATGTAATAATATTTTACAACTATTATTATTATTCATAATATACAATTATTACACTAAATTCAGCAATACATACATATATATATATACAGTGGGTACGGAAAGTATTCAGACCCCCTTAAAATTTTCACTCTTAACAATATTGCAGCCATTTGCTAAAAACCTGAAGTTGTGTACTTAATAATAAGAAATGACACTATTTAAAAAAAATAAACATTTATATTGAAAAAAAATTTTAAAATCAAGAAGAATATATAAAAATATAAATAGTTTCTAAAACAATATATATATATATATATATATATATATATTAGTGCTGTCAAATGATTAATCGCGATTAATCGCATCCAAAATAAAAGTTTTTGTTTAGATAGTATATGTCTGTATGCTGTGAATATTTATTATGTATATATAAATACATACACGTGCATGAATATATTTCAGAAAAATATGTTATGTCTATATATTAAATATATTTATTTAGAATATAAATTATATGAATATAAGTATAAACATGTAAATACAAGTAAATATTTTAAAAATATATACTGTATGTGTGTGTATTTTATTTTGTATGCGATTAATCGTTTGACAGCACTAATATAAATTTATTTATATATATATATATATATATATATAATTAGAATATTAAAAATTAAGTTTTATTACTATTATTATGTATTAATTAAATATGACCAACTATTAATTCTTGGCATCATTCCACCCATAATTGCAAGAGGAACATTCACAGCCTCTCACTGCCTCTTCACCTGTTGATGTCTCAACATCAACATCATGTCATCTGGGTGATCATCTCAAAAAAAGGCAGACTAGATATTGCTCATGGTCTGTCTGTCTGAGATCTAGTCTCCATTTGAAGAAAATGAATGTCCTGCGCTGAACTTCAAAAAGTCACATGACAACCATCCAACTGTTGTGTCTGTGAACATATCAGTGCCTTGTTAGTGTTGTGTGTATTTGTGAGAGTGTATATTCATGCCAGTCCTGTCAGTAGCCCTTTGCTTTATGACTAATTGGCGGCGGTATATTTGTTTGTATGTGTGCGTGTAGTGTGAAGAATAGTAGCATTGCAGCTGCTCAGACAATAATTAGCTCACAGACATGTGTGGAAAATAACGAGCAGCTACAGTAATTAATGTCTTAACGAGGCGATGACCTCATACTCTTTGTTTAGACTAAAACTCTCTCCAGGGACTTTAAACATGACACGCTGAGTATAAACAGTTTCCATTTGCATGCTAAAACAACCTCCATGCCCCATTAAGGGCACTAGCACACTAGAAACAAACAAGATATTCATACACAAATAAACATAAACTAACCAATAAAAATACTCAAATCTGCTGTAAAGTGTCTAGAGAGATGTAAAATGAAGCTTTACATGAAATGGATGTACAGTATAGACGTTTTACCATCCTGGGTTGGTTTTACCTGTTTCTACTATTTTGCAGTATAATTTTTTTTGTTCTTTTAAGAAATATACTTGGCTTATACAATAAGTTGTTATTGGATATAATGGGTCAGGTTTTGCTTCTTTTAGAATATCTGTAGTTTTGTCAAATAACTTGTTTCTGCCCAAACCACAGACTCTAGCCATAAACCAAACAACAACCTGCTTATAACAACCCTTAATTAACATTCCTCACATAGCGGCAACATTAACACTAACTGATCTCCACATCACTTAGTTTTTTCCCAAAACACATAAAATAACAGTTTACTTTCTAACATAAACTCTTCCCATCCAGTCGAATATGTGAATCTCCAGTCCAGTCTCAATAATGTGAAATTCCTAGTGAAAACAAACAATTTTAATCGTAAGTACACTTGCAGCTACTTCACTAGTGTATCATTTACTTATCTTCTCATTGTGAAGACCACATTAGGTGAATTTGGTTTATTTATTATGTTTAAACTACCATTCAAAAGTTTGGGGTAAGTTTATTTATTTGTTTACGTTTTTGAAAAGAAGTCACCAAGGCTGCATTTATTTGATCAAAAATATAGTAATACTGTGAAATATTATTCAAATTTTAAATAACTTTTCTATTTTAATATATTTTAAAATGTAATTCATTCCTGTGACGGCAAATTGAATCTTAATTTCTTCAAGGTAATTAATTACTTGAAATTCTTTGAGTGTATTCAGCTTGTTAGGGTTTGTAGTGTACATTGTAAATGATCAGCTAACTCCCAGAACATGAATTCCTTCATTAATGGTGCTTCCTGTCGGAGTCATCATCTATTATGGAGCAATGGAGAACCACAGGAGAAAAAGAGGAAAACAGGACACATCTGGATAAGACAACACATACATATCAACATTCATTCACACAGTGTGTTAACATGTCCTGCACATTAAACTTATACTGCTTTACTATGTATCTTTTTGTAATGTAAACCAATTTAGCCAAAATATTTAAACACAAGCGTGTAAGGGAGGATATGTAGAACTTAGTGAATGACAGGCATTCGAATTCTGCAGAAATCGGTGTAATTTTCTGCTGAGTTCTGTGCAGGCAAATTCTTCACGGGCCTGTCGGTAACCCTTTGTGGGTCAGACCACAGGCATCCAGCTCTGTCTTAATGCTCTGATCGGCCACCTGCTTTGTTTGTTGTACTAAAAGTAACAGCAACTGTCTGAGTGAAAACTTGAAGGAAGTAGCCTCACTTTGATACAAAACGAGGAATTTGTCTAAGAAAAACTTACAGAGAATTTAAAGGGATAGTTCACCCAAAAAATGAAAATTTACTCACACCTAAACCATCCTAGGTGTATATGACTTTCTTCTTTCAAACAAATACAATCAGAGTTATATTAAAAATGTCCTTGCTCTTTCAAGATTTATAACAGCAGTGAATGGTTGTTAAGATTTTAAAGCAAAATAAAGTGCGTAACTCTATCATAAAAAGGTTAATAAAGCCCTTCTGAACGAAACGATGCATATGTGTAAGACAAATATCCATATTTAAAACTTCATAAACTGTTGTACTTGCATTTACTAAAGAGTAGCATTCCAGAGGATTATGTAGGACATAAGCAAACATGGAAGTGACGAACGTGGAATGAGAGAGCAAAACAAAACACCGGTCACAAATTGGAAGTACAAAACGAGGATTTGTAAAGAAAAATTTGAGAGGATTTCAACATAAGCCAAGAGGAGACTGCTTTTCCTTTGCTTGAAACAAAACTTGGTTCTCACGAGACTAGCATATTCTCACCAGCGCTTACGCTACGCCTACATCCTACGTCGTCTGCTGGAACAACACTCTCTCATGAATGCGTGTAAAACAGTTAGCAGTAGCTAGAGATTACAGGTTATAAATCACTTTGTTTCAGGAGGCTTGTATTAACCCCTTGGAGCCGAGTGGAGCACTTTTTATGTTGGATTTATGCACTTTATTTTGCTTCAAAATCTTGACCACTTTTCACGGCCATTATAAAGCTTGGAAGATCCAGGACATTTTTTTATATAACTTAGATTGTATTCATCTAAAAGAAGAAAGTCATATACACCAAGGATGACTTGATGGTTAGTAAATCGTGGTAATTTAGGGTGAAATATCCCTTTAACAAACTTTCAGAATTTCAGAACTTACGGAGAGTTTTACATACACAGCATACTTCAAAGCCCAGGCTAATACATCAGTCCTTATACACTGGCTTGAGGAACTTTATCTGTAAGATCTTGTATGTCACTCCAGATAGCATGTTTACGCTGTAATATATCCTGGTGTGTTTCTCATACAGTGAAAGGCCAAATGTCAAATCTGACTTTCTGTGTCACATGTAGATGTAAACTTTCTCAAGAGAGAGATTGTCAGTACTGATGAGAGAGCATACACAGAAGTGCATGGTGGTGTGTGTCAAGGTGTTGAGAAATCATTACTCACTGCTGTCTGGGATCGTTTGGTTGTCCCAGTCCCAAGCCTCCACGATCAGAGTGTACGCTCGCTATAGGAGATAGAGAGAAAGAGCTGGTTAGCTAATATACACAGACATATAGGTCTCCACAGTCAAAGTCTATGCTGAAGACAAACACAAAATATCAATAAAATACCACACAAAAAAACAATGGCACAAGAAGCACAGACATAAAAAAAACATCATATTAGTTTACCGACAGAGTCAAAATAAAAGAAAGACTCTTATTACATAATGTTCAAAAGTTTGGGGTCAGTAAGATTTCTTTAATGTTTATGAATGAAGTATCTTATGCTCACTAAGGCTACATTTATTTGATTTAAAATATTGTAAAAACAGAAATAGTATTCCAATTTAAAATAAAGGCTTTTTTATTTGAATAATGGCTTTCTAATTTACTATTTTCAGCAGTCATTACTCCAGTCTTCAGTGTCAAATGGTCCTTCAGAAATCATTCTAATATGCTGATTTGCTACTCAAGAAGCATTTCTTAAAATTATCAATGTTGAAAACAACAATGCTTAATGAGTGGAAACTGTCATATTTTTTCAGGATTCTTTGATGAATAGAATTTTATTTGAAATAGATTTTTTTAACATTATGAATGTCTGTACTGTCACTTTGATCAATTTAATGCATCCTTGCTGACAACAAGTAATAATAATATATTGAAGAAAAAAATCTTACTGACCCTAAACTTTTGAACAGTAGTGTTATATTGAGACAATATAAGGAGGAGAATAAAAGAAAGTATAACACTTGGTATGCCGGCTATTTGGAACTCATGCGTTTCAAATAAAACAACAAAACTTCCTTTCTGAAAGAGTTTTTCACATTAATCTCACAAAACCATTTAGAAGGGCATCTGGGGACATCCTTGAAGAAAAAAATCTTATTCATGAAGTATAATATCTAGGGATTTTTTTTTCAATTACTATTATTTTGTTGCCATTATTAAACAATGGAAATCTATTTAATGTCCTCATATTAATAACGTGTGTATATGTGTGTGTGCCTTTTTAACAGGATGCAAGTCATAACAGCAATGTGAATAACCTGGTTCCCACGGTCTGGTGACTGATTAGCTGGGTTATAAACCAGATGAATAATGAGATGGTGCAAGGATGTTTGTAGGAGCGTGTATCAGGTCACTTCTGCAGTCAACAATTCATAAATGATTGCGTGATGCTTATGCATGCACTTTTTCACACAGACACGTGCTTCAATAGTGTTCTTTAGTTTGTTTATTTCATGGGAAAATGGTTTGCTACGTCAAGTCAAGTAACAGCATGGGCAGAATGACTTCAAAAGGTTCAAAAGGTTTCTGAACCAGCAGTACTTCACAGTGAGTGAGGTGAACTGACTGTAAGATGGGAGAGGTCATGTTTTTCACTCAAATGTATAGTTTTAAATGTTTTAATTTAATATCGTTTTCAAATTTGCTATAAAATTCAGTTAAGTTTTTATTTGTTTCATTAATATTTTTGTTAGTTTTAGTTTAGTTTTTATTTTGTGAACACATTTTTATTTAGTTTTTATATAGTTTAGTTTAGTTTTTCTTTTTAGTTTCTCCTTTGTAGAATCCGCCGGCCACACCGTTCTCAAGCCCGCCCGCCGCTGCTCACTCAAGCTGGCCTCCGCTCACTCTAGCCCGCCGTGTGTTTCGTTGTGAAAGCGAAACTACTTTGTTTGGCCTTCCAAAAAAGAGGACACGACCAGAAATCAGTGGTTAAGTTGTATTTACAACACTGTTCCAGAACACTTCAACCCAAATATTCAGATGTGTGCAGCGCATTTTATGGAGGACTGTTTCCTGATCCTGGAAGAGTAGACTACAATGCCAGCTGTTCTGACTCACAGACTGTAAGTACGTTTTTTATATTTAAAGAATTTGTCACTGATGATTCAAACGCGAGGTTTGAGCAGTGTAGAGTAGCACTTGTTGTTTGTCATTTCTCCGATCACAAATGCAGACATGGTTTTATGTTTACGGGGCGCGATGCAACGCAACGCGTAAGAAGACAGTATAAGTCATTATAATCCATAATTATTTCCCCACTGGATGCAACAAATGCCTCGTTTATAAGGGGTTTTAATGTTTTTGTCTCGTCGCTCCGGCCTGACAGGGCATCACAGTATGGTAAGGGGCGAGACATTTCCGTCACACGCTTGAGGTATTCGGCCAATCACAACGCACTGGATAGTTGGCCAATCAGAGCAGCCAATCAGAGCACGCCTCGCTTTTCAGACTGATGAGCTTTATAAAAAACGATGCATTTCAGAAAGGCGGGGCATAGAGGAGAAACAATAATGTACAGTATGTGGAAATTAATGTGTTTTTTTAACCTTAAACCGCATAAACACATTTCATTACACCAAATACACAAAATAAAGTTCTTTTTAGCAACATCACATGACCCCTTTAAAGAAAGCAGGATGGGGTGAAAGGAGGACAGGAACAAACTGAAAATAAAGAAATAAATAGAAAGAGTAGAGCAGATCAAATAAAGTTTGAACATTTAGTTAGGCCCTCATAACTGTAAAGTTACATAAGTTGTAAAGAATGAAGGAGTCAGGTTTGTCTGTCACTAGCATCCCTCTCTCTTTTAGTAAAACTTTTAACGGGAATCAATATTCCTTGCATCTTGGCAGGTCTACATATATATGCGATTTAAAACAGAGACAGAAATGACAGCAAAGATACAGTCATTTAAGTGTCCTGACCCATATCTCAAAACAGCCAGATACACTGACTGCTTTAGAAAGAGCTAATGTTATCTTTGGTAAAGATATATTGCTATTGTATATTTCTGTTTGGTTTGTAAGAAGATCTCTTTTCTTAACTGTGTATTCAGAGTTTAGATTTAAGTCTTGATATCTTTATGGAACAGACTGTATTCATTCATTCATTTATTCTCATTTTATTTTATTTTATCTTATTTTAGTGTTTTATTTTATTTCATTTTATTTTTAATTCTTGTCCTAAGTAAGGCTTATCTTACTTAGTATTTTTGTCTTGTTTCTAGTCAAAATATCAAAAAATTAATAAATCAAGATACTTTTACTAGATAAGCCAAGTGACTTAAGGAAAAACTAAATTAAGTGCATTTTGCTTAAAACAAGTAAAATTATCTGCCAGTGGGTTAAGTAATATGCTCTTGTTTTAAGAATATTTTACTTACCCCACTGGCAGATAATTTTACTTGTTTTAAGCAAAATGCACTTAATTTAGTTTTTTCCCCCTGGAAACAAGACTAAATATCTTAAGTCACTTGGCTTATCTAGTAAAAGTATCTTGATTTAAGAATTTTTAGATATTTTGACTAGAAACAAGACAAAAATACTAAGTAAGATAAGCCATTTTTTGCAGTGTAATAATTGCGGTGTGTGTGTGTGTGCTCAGTGGGATGGGATTTTTATCCAAAAACAAAGGATGGTATGCTGGAAGCATATCAAAGATCTCACAGCTGTAGGACGTCAGACACAGCAGGACTTATAAGGCTCATAAACATCACCTTCTGTAAACTGCGTTCCTCCCCTGGCACACCCGATTCACAAAGAAACTATGGACAACAGCAGATGTAAGTGTCTTGACAGATTTCAGATTAGTTGATGTTCAGCTAAATAACACTGATGATGCACCGAGTCCAGTGATGCAAGCAATTGTGTTTCCAACAGTATATTGTCTACCATCATTTCCATTCATTAAACATACACATGCTGCAGAAAACATTATGGGAGGATTATTCACATTAGCAAGTGTTTGTTTTTGTTGTTTGCCAGTGCCAAAAATAACTATTAAACATCCCAGCAGGAGGATTTCCTTCCTACTATGGGCTGTCTTCACCAGTACTAACACAAGACTGCAAATATCTCTCCCTTCAGACTTCAACAGAGTTACAGCAGGGAAGAATCTTCAGAAGTTCACCAGCTGAATGTGAAACCAGTTTCTCAAATGACTCACCTGCAAAGCTGTTTAAACAGCACTTATGAATCTATTCGCAGGCAGGTGACCAGATAACAGTTCTGAGACACAGTCTAGACCAGGGAGCCTCAAATCTGGCCCACGAGATCCACTTTCCTGCAGAGTTTAGCTCTAACCCTAATCAAACACACCTGAGCATGCTAATCAATGCCTTCAGGATCATTAGAAAATCACAGGTAGCTGAGTTTGATCAGGGTTGGAGCTAAACTCTGCAGCGCATTGGCCCTCCAGGGCAAGATTTGAGGAACCCTGGTCTAGACCTAACTAAACTCAAAAAGTAGAATTTGCACCTGTGAAACCGACATTAAACCATGTTATATGGTGCATGGAAAAACACAGATGTTCTTATGCATACCAGAAACAACAGAAAATCAACAACTATGGGTATGATGATAGATAGACAGACAGACAGACAGATAGATAGACAGAAAGACAGATAGATAGACAGATAGATAGACAGATAGACAGACAGATAGATAGATAGACAGATAGATAGATAGATAGATAGATAGATAGATAGATAGATAGATAGATAGATAGATAGATTAGATAGATAGATAGATAGATAGATAGATAGATAGATAGATAGATTCAGAATGGATGAAGATCAACACTGAAGAAAAATACTGAAGAACCATCTCAGAGATTTGGAAATAATCATGCACAGTCCCAAAGCGTCTCATTAGTGTACATGATTTTATCTTCAATTGAGCAATTACTGTGTGTTTAAAAACAAAGCCACTTTAAAAGACATGTGTACATAACAGAAGAACACAGGCAGCTCTCACCACAGCGCTACTGTTATCACCACGTCCAAACAAGACTCAAACACAGTGATTCAGCGTTTTCACTACTTACAAAACATATTTACCAGGGTTAAGAAAACAACAACAAACTCACACTGAGGTAAGCGCTGTGTGGTTTGAGTTAAATGTTTTACCCACAGTAATGTGCCTTGCGTTATCTTACAAACTATCTGTTCTGGTCTATTTAGCGACAATGCTGCTATCTGAAACATGATCGTGAAGACAACTCCCACTGCCTCTCTTTCTCTTCTCTATCTCTCTGATTGTGATATCACTCCATGAGCAAGCCAGCTCTAGTCAAGAACTCTGTCTTGTGTAAATCGTGCCTTTCTTAAAAAAATGCAATCTCATTTTTGCCCAAAACAGAATTCCTGTGAGCTCATGCGACTGTTGCCCTTCACTAATGACCATATATTAACATTCTTTCACTAAGAAAAATTGGCTAACATGCTCAGAGTTGATTTGCTGAGAAAGTGGCATGTTCATGAATTATTTCTTACTACAGTAACATCAATTTTAGCAACTATTTTGTTGTAAATGTTGTAGACTCACTGCTGAAAAAGATAAGAAACTTAAACCAGCCTTGTCAGGTGGCTGGTTTTTGCCACTTTTCAGCTAGACCAACATTAGATAGATAGATAGATAGATAGATAGATAGATAGATAGATAGATAGATAGATAGATAGATAGATAGATAGATAGATATGTTGGTTGGGTATTTAAAAGACATTTAAAAACACTATATAAGGCTTTTAAAGTTAGATAAAGATATATATCAGAGATAGATAGACCGATAGATAGATGTCTATTGATCGTCTTCCTTCTAAACTCCACAATACATGGACTTCTTGCAGCCACGTCCGCAAGCCATGAAGTAAAACACACTACGTCCTATAAATACGACACCATCAGTTAAACGTGTAACTGTACACTCCGCGCGCGCGAGAGACACGCACCAGCCGCCGCTCGCGCAGCCAAACGCGCGCCGTAACCGGAGATGCTCTACTCATCATCTCTACGATTAACGCCAGTGACCACCGTGACACCGAGCTCTCCTCTTTCCACCGAGTCAAACATTTGCTTTGCAATGAGTGTTTAAAGCGTAGGTTACCAGTTGGTGTTGTTAAGACAAAGTATAGCTGTATGTTCACTTGTGCGTCTTGACCATCTGCTGGAAACAAGTTTTGGAACAAGGTGGTTTCTAGCTGGTCTAGACTGATTGTTAGCTGGTATAAGCTAACAGACCATATTGGACAGACAAACCAATCTTAAAGTCGTCAGGCTGGCTTAAAGTGGAAATATCACCCAGTTTGGATAGCCTTATACTTAATAATAAGACCAGATATCATTTCCACAGATTCCACCTTAAGCTGGATAATATGTGATAGGCTATAGCAAGAAATTCTTAACATAAGCGGGGCTTTGATTTGATACTCCCCAAATGCCACATGGGCATATAATGTGTTTTCAATTGTAAAGCTAGTATAGGAAAAGCTCTATGGTTACGATAAACACATTTATACTGTACAAAATGTACAACCTTAAGTTTAGCTACTTGTTTTCTTATTCTTTTTTTAAAGTAAAATCAAAGTTACAACTAGCAGTGTTAAGTTTTGACACCCTTAAGAAAATTCGAGTTCAAACTCATAAAATCGAGCAGACATTTTTTTCACAGTGTCAATAGCCTATATAGAAAATGCTCACAAAAAGGGTTTGTTTGTTGTTGAAGGGCTGATGAAAGAGGGTATCGGTGAACACCTACCGGCCAGGCGAACTGAAAGGGGATGATAACGGTCCCGAGGTCATTGGCCTTGCTTGGGTTTCCATTGAATCCTTTCAACTGAAACGTATTCCCTCCGACCACGCTCGAGCTTCCAGTGCCGTACGTACATAAGCCAGACGTGGTGACCTCCACTTGGTATTCCTTTAGACACACTCTCAAGTACGTGTCACATTCGTCCTGATCGCACAAACCGTTTTGCGCGCTCCGTGCGCCGTCACAGCAGTTTCCATTCGCGAGCTCACCCCTGTCATTCTCCACGCTGATCAACTGGATCTCCAAATAACCCGACGACCGGCACGCCTAAAAATAACATTAACAGCAGTTAAAAGATGAAATGCAAACAGTTTGGCTTTGTAAGACTGCACAGAATAATTTGTCTTTCTCCCATTAAAATACAAGACAGAACATGCAGCAGAACACAATATAGCGGATACTGACTTACATTTGTGTTAAAGGAGTGATCTCATGGTTATACACAGGTATTGCAAACATACCAATCCAGTGCACTCGCAGCAAATATGAATAAACATGTTTGTGCAATAATGAAATATAGCTACACTTCACTGTATGATTAATGTAGGCAATGCTTAAAGTTTCGATGTAGGTGCATTACAGTGCACGCGGACTGGTTTTAAAACGCCTTTAAAGTTTAAGGATCACATGATTCCACTGACAGCAGGATAATTCTATTAGGACAAGAATCCCAAAATCTAATTTGACAAAAATGAATGATTTTGAGTTCAGTGTAAATCGGTTGTTTAATCTATGACTTTACAACTAGTGAAGAAAAAGGTGGACTTAAAAAGGCATAAGGAAGTTTAACTCACCTCAGTCCAAAACGTCAAAATTAAGAAACAAGCTCCAAAATAGTTATGCATGACTCCTATGAAGTTAATACGACATGATTAAAAAAAGAAAACACATATATGCATCATTATCCACAAAAATCCAGCCATTCAAAGTGATTCCTTTCTCCGCAAGACCTCCAGAAGATGAAATGAAAGTCACACACATACATCCACTCGCTCCTCCAGCGCGCTGCTCTCACAGTTAACTACTAGCCGTCTGAACGGGCTTGATTGACAGTTCAATACACCAGTGACAAGCCATCAGTTGTAGTAGAACGTCTGCGTCAGCCAATCGCATAGTCAGAGGGCGGGGCCTTCCTATAAACGATAGATCTGACAGGCTTGTTGACTTAGTTTGTAGAGTAAAGGAAAAAGATTTGAAAACGACAACAAAAACTGTTATTACATAAAAAATGTAATCTTTCACAACAGGAATAATTTTCGATTCTAAAATTTTTAACAATTGAATGGTTTTATAATTACTGCTAGAAGTATGTTGACATTCTGTAAACGATTATTACACACTTTATTATTACACACAAGTTTTTTGTTGTTGTTTTTTTGGGGTAGCATTTTGCCCTGTTTGTACTCTTTCACAATCCAAATCTACACTCATGTCAAGGCACGGGTGAATGATTGTGGCTAACAGATACAGAGCGCCCTCTAGTGTATTATTATGAATAAGGTACAGTATTATTAGGTTTCCTCCTGAAAACTTCAATAAAAAAGACTGTCATTCACTCTTTGGCCTTATCTAGTCCTGGCTTTTTGCATGCTTTTTAAATTGTATTTATTTATTTATTTTTAGTTGTTGTTGATGGTTTTAGTTCAACATAATCCAAAAAGGGTTCTTTTTGAAAATTCCCTGATAAATAGGCTACATCCTGCTTTTTGTTAATTCTTCTGTGTCTGTCTTTACTCTCGCTCTCTCATTCATTAGGAAATGGGTGACGCCATAGTCCTAATCTAGCTGTCAGACTCCATCCTGCGTTCCTCTAGTGCCGGTCCATAGCCAGAATAAAGAGAGGAAGTCAGCCCGAGAGCTGCATGCAGAGGAATTAGATGTTAACAATGCTTGCTGCACTCTGAGGATGTGGCACACTGTGGCTGTGATAGAAAGAAATGCACCTGCATTTCGTTGAGCTCATAAAACATGTACAGATTGGGGAGGGGGGTAGGAAACTTGGAAATATTTATGTTTTCCAGCGAATGCACATGGAATAATATCTACACCACAGAAACAGTAGTACCTACCACAGTAGTAAAACACATAGTTTTTTTGATACAGTGTTGTTGATTGATTTGTTTGGTTGCAGGATAAGATAAAAGATTACAGCTCTGTCTGTTAACATAAGAGATTCGCTCACATATGAAATAACATTTATACATGCAGTGACCCTAAAAAGCCTACAGTATCTTATTTGACAATATCTTAATTTTCAAGGCCTTTAACTTACATGATAAAATGCTGAGAAACCTGTACACAATTTACTGCATGCCTTCTGCCATCGGACTGACAGTTCATACTTTTAAAAAAAAGTAAATGGCCTTATATCATTCCTAAAATGTGTCCACGTGTTATATAATGTTATATACACATCTCAATAAACAGAATGTTGATCATAAAACCAATTTGAATATTAATAAGACATATTATTGGGAGATATAGAGTGACAACTGACATTTACATGTACTTTATGTAAGCAGTTTGCTCAACTGTTATAGATATCTAATTGATTTACATTACAAACTATTAGAATGAAATATTTTTGTTATATAAATAACAGCAACAGCAATATACAGTGGGTAGCCCACTGTATATATAATAATATACTCAATATATCATATTTTAGGGGCCATAAAAGACTGATGTATCAAATATGATATAAAACATTTAACATTTTTAAAAATATTTTGTCTAAAGGTTTTATAAAAGGTTTTATAAATGACCTTTTTCACATTTCCAGGTTTCTCAGCAGAGGAAGCCTTGGGTAAACTTCGAGAGCAGTGAATGGGAGAGTATCACAAATATATATAATTTTATTATTTTTTTTTTTTGCATTCCCATTTGCTCAAATAGCAAAAGAAAAAACTCCACAATAGTGTTTTCATGACTTTCAAAAAAAAGGAAAAAAATTGAGAGACTGATTACGGCAGTCAGAAGAAAGAACAATGTCAAATTTACTGTCCCTCCCATGCTTTAGAAACACCCTTGCATTGGCGTTAACTAGTTTTTTGTAATTTGATGCAAAGGTGATTTAATACAAAGTATAGTGTTACGGATGTACATACCTTTTTTACAAAATAAAAATGTAAACAACTTTTGAGGATTTACGATGCTGATGACTGTTGAAACTGATGACTGTTTTCACAAGACCATCACAGTCTTGTGAAAAGGGTTCATGTGATATTTTTTAATTTGTTGTCAATGTATCAGGCTTTACCGGGTTAAATATATCTTAAGTGCCCAAATCTATGGCCACCATAAATGCATTCACTCTGTTTTCTTCTCAGTCTCTCTCCTTCCACTTGAAGAAGCAAAGAGAAACAGAAGTGCAGCGAGCAGGTGTGTCATTGGGAGGTGTGAAATTCTGTCTCAGGTTTATAAATGTCAGTGATGGAGTGTGAGAGTGCTTAACCTCTGACTTCAAGTCAGACTTCAATTACAGCTAATGCAGATTCCCTCAGTGTGTGCACTCTTTTAGGGTCACTGAAGGGGTGCGACATGTCAATGAGTTGACCTGAATATGTCATCTTCAGAAGAGCCAGCTTAAAGCTCACCTCGGCTTGCTCTGAAAACGTCTCAGGTTACTTATGTAACCATGGTTCCCTGAGTAGGGAACGAGACACTGCGTCCTCTAGGGGTCGCTATGGGGAACGCCTCGTCGTGACCCGTGTCTGAAGCATACATTGAAAAAACACCAACTTGTTGGCCGGTGACAGCCATGACGTCACTACCGGTGCGACTATAGTATAAATAGGCGCCGGGAGCACACATCATTCACTTCTTCGTCTGAAGCTTGCATCCGCAGCATGGCGAGAAACCTAGAGGACACAGTGTCTCATTCCCTCCTCAGAGAACCATGGTTACATAAGTAACCTGAGACATTCCCTTTCATGGGAACTTCGAACTGCGTCCTCTAGGGGTCGCTATGGGGAACGGTATACCCACGCCACCATGCTGAGGGGAGTGAATGCCATAACCATGGCCGAGCACTAATTACCAACTCTACCATATTGCTATGCGAGTCGCCCCTGGGACGTTAGACGGCTGTCAGTGACGTTATTCCCTACGGCCAAAGGCCTAGGCTACATACCCCAAAATACTTACCTGTTAGGGCCAGACTCCTGGGCCCGGGGTAGAGCTCAAGGCTTGGAATCAGGAATAGATTCCTTTAAGGGAATACGACCAA